GCCTTTGAAATGCAGATAAAATGCAGGCTTCTGCTCATTCCAGATGTGCTTCTGCGGCAGGCATCCCACCTAGCTCCCCCACTCATCACCAGAAACAGCAATTGGCAGGAGAACACAATGGGCCTCAATCTAGCCAAGTCTGTACTCACATAGTTCTGGATTATTAAAGCCCCAGTAGCATTTAGAACACAAACAAGATCTTTGTAACTACAAGAGAAGTCCGGAGGGGGGAGTTGTCAACAGAGCCCTGCTCTCCTACTTGTACTGTTTAATATCATACCTAGTTGGTTGGGCTTTTTATTTTTATATTTTTATTTCAGATTAATGTGAGGGTACAAACAATTAGGTTACAATGTTTGCATTTGTTAGGTAAGGTCCCTCTTCTAGGTGTTGGTTGAGGATTTTTAAAACATCATCCATGATTCATTGGTGACGGTGTAGTTTCCAATGTGTTGTTTGCTCAAAGGTCAGATAATGTCCTTGCTCTGGAAGCCTTGGGCAGGAGTAACTTGGGCTAACTTCAGCCAGCGAATTCTCAGAAATGCGAGGTAACCATCTGACCCTGGATATGCAAGAGTGCACGATTCTCTCATTCCATGAAGAACCTAAGAGCATTTTTAGGTCTTCTACTGACATTTATGTCTCAGTTTCCTTTTGTCATAAAAAATGTGGAGATCTTATAGTTTTGAACAGAGAGTCACTGTAAGATTAACAAGGAAAAATCTGCTGGCAGGCTCTCAGCAGACACAGTGACAGCTGAATTTCTGATTATAAAAATATGTAACATTTTGGATCATATTACATAACATTTCAGATAAAATATCATAATAATGCAACAATTTCACAACAGATGTCTAAGTGTCAATTCAGTCGACACATATCATTGTCTGCAAAATATGACGCTGGAAGAGGAATATTGCAAGAAAACGAACACAGAAATAGACTTTCTCAAGGAGCTTATGCTCTGAGAAAAAAAGGGCAAGAAAGTATCCAAGTAATGCCAGGCAGATAATATTAAGATACCAATAAGGGAGAAACGAACTGTCATTAGGAATTCTGGGGACAGCAAGATGACATCAAGCTGGAGAGAGGATTAAGAAAATCGTGATGAAGGTGAGAAGACTTCCAGGTAAAGTACGGGTGGGGACAAAAACAAAACAGGGAAGAAGTTCTGGCTGAGTCCTCGGTGCTCTGTATTGACATAGATGCAAGCTGTGGCTAGGACCAGACTGAGGCTCTGAACTCACAAGGGGCCCACTTTTGAAGTAAGCATAGTTTTTAGTTTGCCAGGGCTGCTGTAACAAAGTACCACAAGCTGGGTGGCTTAAACAACAGAAATTTATTGTCTCACAGTTCTGGAGCCCAGAAGTCTGAGATTGAGGTGTGAACAGAGTTCGTTCCCTGAGTAGAACTGTCCAGTGAAGATTCAGTCATATCGATAAGATTATCTGGGAATGCCTGGTAGAGGCATGATGGGAGCTGTAAACAAACAACTGGCAGGCTCTGTACCTGTAGCACAGTGGTTACAGATCCAGCCACATACACCAAGGCTGGCGGGTTTGAACCCAGCCCTGGCCAGCAAAGCAACAATGACAACTGCACAGAAAAATGGCCAGGAGTTGTGGCGGGTGCCTGTAGTCCCAGCTATTTGGGAGGCTAAGGCAAGAGAATCGCTTAAGCCCAAGAGTTTGAGGTTGCTGTGAGCTGTGATGCTACAGCACTCTACCGAGGGTGACATAGTGAGACTCTGTCTCAAAAAAAACTGGCAGTGGTGTCACTGGAGGACTGATAGGCTGAAACAAATTAAAGAGCTGCCTCTATTCACTGATGCTCACTGAGTTAAAGGTGACCTCTGTGACCATGAAGACAGATTAGAGGCCTTGGCTCCATCTTTTTTGTAGAACTGAGTAAGAGAAGACTCTTATTTGATGGCTGATTGTTTTAGAAGCATTTCTCATACATTTTATTAACTTTTTCAGAAGATGTTAACCATATAATATATAGTCCACATTCATCAAAGGTCTTGCTTATTTCCCTTTGGAATGTCTACTTATTTTTATAGGTCAGGGTTTTTGCTCTGCTGCCCAGGCTGGAGTGCAGTGGCACAATTATAGTTCACTGCAGCTTCAAATTCCTGGTCTCAAGCAATCCTCCTGCCTCAGCCTCCCGGGTAGGTAGGACTACAGGCATGCACCACCACACCCAGCTAGTTTAATTTTTTGCAGAGGGAAGGTCTTTCTATATGGCCCAGGCTGTTCTCAAACTCCTGGCCTCAAGTGATCCTACTGCCTTGGCCTCCCAGAGTGCTGAGATTACAGGCGTGACCCATTGCACCCAGCCAGAATATTTTGAATTATGAATATTCTAATTTGATCCAGCAGAAACAGTCCTTGTGTTATAAATATGGGTAAATAACTGGGTGCAAAGGGGTACATCTATCTGAACAGTGTTTATTTTTTCTTTAAATGTTATAATAACGTTACCATTTATTGAGCTAAAACATCTACCAGAACCCCTGCTAAGCACTTCATAGATTAAACATCTACCAGAACCCCTGCTAAGCACTTCCTATCTACCTTTCTCAGACTACTCCATTCAACAAAATTAAGGTGAGGCTTAGCTAGGTGGGATGCTTCAGCCGTGCTGACATTTGAACCCAGATCTTTCTGATTCCACTGAATTTGCTTTCCTTTGTAGGGGGAACCAGGGGGCGGGGAGATGGGAGAGTGTAACTGCTTTATAGAGATGTAATTCACATATCATAAATTAACCCAATAAGGGATTAATATCAAAATATATAAGGAAATCATAGAACTCAACACCAAAATATTAGTAACCCAATTTTTAAAATGGGCAAAGGACCTAAATGGACAACTCGTCAAAAGAAAAAATTTGAATGGCTAACAGGCACATGAAAGGGTACTCAGCATCTCTAGTCATAAGAAAAATGCAAATCAAAACCACAACGAGGTATTACTTGGTATCTGTTAGGGTAGCTAATATCAAAGACAAAAGATAAGTGATGGTGAGGATGTGGAGAACAGGGAGCCCTGTACACTGCTGGTACGGATGTAAATTATAGAAAACAGTATAGATGTTCCCCTCAAATAATTTAAAATAGAAATATTTAGCTATAATCCAAAGGAACTGACCTCAGGATGGTGGAGAGATACCTGCACACCTATGCTCACTGCAGTATTACGAATAACAGCCAAAATGTGAAAACAACCTAACTTTGACAGATGAATGGATAAAGAAAATGTGGTGCATCAAAATCCTATGGAATATCGTTCAGTCTTATAAAGAGAGGAAAGCTTGCCATTTGTGACAACATGGATGAAACTGGAGGACATTATGCTGAGCAAAATAAACAAGACACAGAAAGAAATGCTGCATGACCTCACTCATACCAGACATCAAAACCGTCACATTCACAGGAGCAGAGAGTGAGACGCGGCTGCAGGGGCTGGAGGAAGTGGGACATGGAGGGATGAGGGTCCAATGGGGATGACAGATCAGTACTGATTACATACTGTAATTTATTAAGAAGATCATCACAAATCCTGTCACACCACACATACAACAGTAATTATATAGAGGTAATACATATATTTAGTTTGATTTTGGCATTTCACAACATATTTCAAAACATCACATTATACATCTCAAATACATACATTCAGAGGCTGCCAGGAGAAAAGACCATAAATTCTCTTTACTTAGTTTGTTATTTAAAGTGGCTTTAAAGTAGTCATGATGGATGGTTACTTAGTACAAGTTGAGTATCCCTCATCTAAAACGCTCGGGAACAGAAGTGTTCTGGACGTGGGTTTCTTCCAGGTTTTGGAAAACACTGAACCAGCTGAGCACCCCTAACACTTAAGTCTCAACTGCTCCGATTAGCATTTCCTTTGAGCATGATATTTAGTGCCCCCCAAATTTTGGACTTCAGAGCGTTTTGGATCTCAGATTTTCAGAATAGGGATACTCAACCTGTAGTTAGCATGTATTAAGGCATTAATTGTATTGTTTTTATCCTTCATAACAAACTACTGAGATAGTTTGTTGGCTTACGCATTGAGATTTTGTCCCCGCATCTGCGAACTTCATTTCTCCAGTGTTGATCTTGTACAGAACTATACAGTCCAACCATCAGCTCCCAGCAGGAGAGATCCCACGTGGCAGATCTAACCTGATTTATTTGGTTCTGTGGAACACCTACTTGTTTTATATGCATATCATAAGGTTAGGTACTTCTTTGTTGATAGGCTTTTCTTAGTAAATAAAAAATAATATTGAAATAAAAACTACTGACAAAGCACAATGTGTCCCCTAATTTTCTTGTACATGGTTTAAAATTAGTAGGAATGTAAGCCGGGGGGGAAATACATAGTTTTCCATCTAAATATTAAACATGTTCTGAAGCTGGTAAGCCTCCATGAAACTCAATTGCTGGATATCTGAACAATAAACATGTAAGAGCCAAGATAGTTCTGCAGCGGCACTTACCAGCTATCACAACATGTCAGCTCATGAAAGTTGTTGACTTTGGCTAACCCTTCCCATTAGGCTGTGTGTCTCAGGGACACTATTTCACTGGCACAGAGTTTCCTCCACTCTCTAGCTGCCTACTGCTAATCCTGGTTTCTAAGAAAAAAGAAGAGAGGACACGGAGCTCTAAAGTGTGTCTTAGATTGCTGTGTCAGGCAACAAAAAGCCTTGAGCCCTTTAAAATTCTGCTACTGCCAGCTGAAAGCAGCCAGCCTCTCTACCTCTCTGACCCAATTAGTCTTCTAGAATCAAAGGGCTCTTTTTAGCAGAAAGTCACTTAGCCTGAAATTGCCATATTTTTACACTAAAAGATGAGTCTTTTCTAAATCCTTCCCTCTTTTCAAAATTCCTCAACAGAACTCATCACCAATATATTTTCTTCATAGTGGTGTACCCAATCAATTAATCTAGAAGAACCATAAATTCATTTTGCTGTGTGCAAAAGAACCACAAGTTATATTTTATTACATAATAATCAGAGGCAAATTATCTGCAAATATCTGCTGTAGGGCTGTACTCCCTAATTAAACAAATATTTTTTCACTTAAGGAATTATTCCTTAATAAATACTACAGTTAACATTATAAAAATGAAAACATACATATTTATAAAGAACAAAGGCAGTAAGACTGTTTCCCTATCTATAACTGATAAAAAAAGTATAAAAATATATTAAAAATAACATTTTGTAGTCACATAAACTACCTTCTCAAAATGGTACAGAAATACATTCAGTAACTCCCTATCAAGCTACTACTCTGTAGCTACTAAGAAATAACTAAAATTCGTATCACAGTCTTGGATTGACAATACTGTATCTTTTTACTGATTTCTTCATTTGCTTAATTTTCTTCCTTATGACTTGATGATCTTGTTTTGAAATATACCGAAAATATCTACAACCTAAAAAACAAAAATAAAAAGTTTTAATACTTATCAAATTTTTAAAGAATATTTCTAAATTTTAAAAATTCTGCTTCAACTCTGGCATACTAATGATTACAAAAATAGAGCTATTTGCATTATCTATACCAATATGTCCCAAGCATATTCTCAGAGCTGTCACCAATGAAATGTATTACTTCCTATATACAAAGATGTTCTAATGCATCATAATTAAGGCATATAGACTTTAGCTGTTTTTCTACCCTCCCACCCAAATCCTATTTATGGTAACATGCATATTATAAATTATGCATACTTATGTATTAAATGAGTCTTCTCCAAAAGTAGATTTTATAGCTTCCCTGTCAGTGTTAGCTTATAAATTAGCCAAAGTTGCATTTATAAAATGAGAAAGTGCTCTGTAGAATGAGAACTAGAATAAACAAATCATAGATCAGAAGAGATCAAACATCATCTACTCATTCTAGCCACCTGGCAAGCAGTGGACAGAGACCACAGAGCTCTGACAAAGTGCCTACGCTCACGAGAAGTTCTACCCACTCCTCAAGTCTCACAACACAAAACAATCGTTTATCAAATACTTCAGAGAAATGAATCAAATTTCTGCAAGAAAAATGTAAACTGGATATTGTAAGAGTTTTTCTTATATTTGTTAAATGAACAAAACCATAAATCACATATGGAAATTAATTTAATCTAGTCTTAGCTTATATGTCAATCTTCTCTGGGAAATTGCTAGGATATACACTGTGCCTATAATAACCATTGTATCACCCCTGAAAATACAGTAGAACCTCCATAGTTGACCACCTCCCTATACTGACCACCTCTTTAAATAGCCTAATTATCATAGACTGGACAGTCACCACATGGACTCAGTGGAAGTTCCTTAGTTGACCACCTCTGTGTGCTGACCAGCTTGTTATAGTCCCTTGCGTAGTCAACTTACAGAGGTTCTATTGTAGTATCTCAGAATTGCTTATATTTTTGTTTGGGAGCATTTTTTTTTCTGAGGCAGGGTCTCACTAATTCCCCACTGAGACTATAGGCATGTGCCACTATGCCCAGCTCACTTGCTCTTATTTTATTAGTTTGGAAGCAGTGGTATCTGTGCTCTTGCTAAAATAATTTGAGCTTCTAAACATATCATGCCACATTAGTAAGAACAGAATACTTCGTACACAGATTTTGCCTCTACATATATAGAAAGTTGGAAAGAACTTTGCTCCTACCCTAACATACAGAAAAAGCTGAATAAACTACAAATATTAACTCTTCTCTTCTACCAGAGAGCTGAAATCACAAGGCAACCAAGTAGCCTGAATTCCAAAGAGGAAAGGCAAGGAGAGATGGGCCTGGCTCGCTTTTAGCAGAGCATGGGAAGAAAGGCAGCCACCATACCCCACTCTAAACACAAGGCACAGCCAGACTATAAGCAGAATGTGAATCCTTCAATGTAATGATGATAACCAGAAGAAGAAGAAAATCCAGCTTAACTCCTGAATATTCAGACTGACTCAATCGCACCCTCACAGCCTGACAGAAGAAATGTGGCCATTTCAAGCACAACTAATACCTGATTACCTACAGGTACTTTGGAACTTATAAATCACTCTGATGGAATGTTCTTCTGTTTATGACAATCCTGTAACCAAATAATGCCCATTTCACAAGAAAGGCTTCCAAAGGTTAACTGGTTGACCTAAGTTACATGGCAAGTGAATGAGAATTGGAAAATTAACCCCGGTCTTTGGACTCTGCTCAAAGATACCTCTAGATATCTGTACTAGATACCGCTCTACTCATAAAGCAGTAGAAAATGGCAATCCAAATCACATTACTCTTCCCTGTCAATGTATACTAGACAATGATTTTAAATTTCTTTGTTTATTGATCCCTGCCCTTCTTCAAAACCAATGTTTAGTTGGTACTCATATTTACTAAGATTAATTCCCTGAGAGTACGAATTCCAAAATAATACAAACCAAATCCCAAAGTTAACCTAAGAATCTCTCTGGACACCTTAAACCCCACGGCTACAGACTGCTTCCTAGTGTCACTGTTAGGTTTACAGGCTTCATTTCGGGACATATTTTGTGGCAGTTTCATTTTAGTACTAGCCACCTGCTTAGTAGTACAAAGCAGGTAAGAGTTTTATCATCCAAAATATTTCATAAAGATCAATATCCTTTTCCTCTTAAGAGGATTTTTTTTTCATATACTAATAGGAGGCGTTTTTTCCTCTTAAGGGGAGAAAATATTTTATCCTTATAGGCACAGATAAGTAAATATAATATATTATGAAGTCAATAAGAATATATTTGTGCTTTTAATAAAGTAGAAAACCTCAGTAAACTTTCTATAAAGCAAGGCCAAATAGTCATTTATTGTGAGAACAGTCTGCACTGTATTGTAATTCCCCTTAACCACACTCAATTCAAACATGAAAACAAATCACAATCAATAATATAAAATCACTGTTTCTAATCAATGGGGATTTCTACAAGCACACCACCTACTCTGAACTCAGGATTCCATCTTCATTCCGTTGTCATTTCGCAAGTATCCAGTAACCCTACGCACTATGCCAGGTAACCTCTAAGACAAATGGTCATGCTTTGCAATTTAAAAATCAGCCAAAAGCTATGTCTAGATAAAAACAAAAACATGTACCTTTTCCCAACAATATTCCAGCTACAAAAGCTTTCTCACACGCCAAAGCCATATCTTCCTTCCAATCACTTTTTGCCCAAAAGTAGCTGAAGTGAAAGCTTGGCCACCAGTTTTTCCTGGAGTTCCACTGTTCTTGAACCCACACAAGATGATTTCTGGAAAAGAAAAATGTCAAAAAAGAAGGTCACTGATGGGACTAGATCTATACTGCCAGGATCTGAACTTATGTAGAGTCTATGGAAAGATGACAAGGAAGATGTTTCCAAACCAAATTCTGAGCCAAGGCAACAGCATGAAAGCAAATCAGTTTTTGTTCTCTTTGATCTCCACGTCCCATTTTCCATTTAACTGAACATACAATTCAGGGTAGCTCAGTAGTTAAGGGATAGAGTCTGAAGTCAGAATACTGGATTTAAATCTCAAATCTTCCATGTACTCTTAATGTAATTTTGGGCAAGCCGTGTAACCCCTCAGAGTTTCAGTTTCCTGGAGGTAACTATCTATCTCATAGCACTGTTATTAGAATTAAACCAGTCCAGTAGAATGTACAGCAGGTCTCATATAAAGCTCTGAAGTCTGAAATAAGTTCCAACTAATACTGAACTTCCCATCCAACTAAAATAATACATAAATGAAACTTAATTTTGTGATATACTTTCTTTTTACACATTAAGTAAAAACAAAGCAACTCCTTTTCTTTTATCCAAAACATGACATAACTATTATAATCAGAGGCACAGTTTTAGATACCCAGAACACAACAGCCTTAATAAAAATTTGTTGAATAACTAATTCATGATGAGCTTAGGAAGTCCTAAAAACACACACTGAAAATAATTGAAAACAGCTGGAAGGAAAGATGCTTCCCACATAATCTGAGCAATTAATGACATACAAATCACAAAGAGATTTACAAAGAGTATTTAACAAAGAGTAGGGGTGATCCCTTGTGGTCTATATTTCCAATTTGAAAACACACATTTATTCCCAACCAATGTAGTGCTAACAGATAGTACTTATTTTGACAGCAAAAAATTCTTGATAGAATTCTTGTATGTTATCCTCATAATTCTGTATTTCCTTGGTTCAGAAGAAAATGTACTCACAAGGAAACAACTGAAGATACAGTTCAAGAAATTCAAAAACATAAGCAAAGAACTTTACTTGAAAATTGACAGATCTAAGCTAAAATATTGGGAAAGATCATTTATGATAATCCAGAAACAAAAACTCTATGTTTCTTACCCCATTAAGGTCTGTTTCAGGTATTTTGCCAAGTATTTCCAAGCAGTTATATTCTTGGTGCATCCAGCAAAATCTAAAACTCCAAATAACACTTCCAATCCCAGTTTATGGTGTTCTTCTTTTTCTGCAATGGTCATAAAGTTTAAGTTTCCATAAGGTATTAAAGTATACAAAGCTATACGTATATATATATAAATATACACACATTTATCGAGTTCATAAAATATTACTGAAGCATAAACATTCTGGTTTGGGTAACAGTTAAAAACCCATATGATGTTCATGCTCCTGTGATGAACACGGAGAAATCAACAGTCCACGCTAATGAGGTCACAGTGGGGAGCCTCATCTCTACATGGGTTATATTCCTACACTTAGATACTACTGAGAACATTATTTAAAGTACTTGTCCCATTTGGGCATTTTATTCGTGTTCTTTCTGTTAGGAGATAAACCTATACAGTCTTAGGACCAATTGGGCTTAGCCAGATGATTTCCTTCAACAAAGAAATATGTTCTTTTCTACACAGAGCTGAATTCTAAAAGGGATTAAAATCAGCTGAATTATATACATCAAAGACATCTTACTTTTACTAACTATTGCTTGATGTTCTTCTGTAATATGAGTCTGCAAACTTTTTTCTGTAAAGGGCATATAGTAATTTTTTTATTCTTTTTGAGACAGAGTCTCACTGTGTTGCCCAGGCTAAAGTGCCATGGTGTCAGCCGAGTTCACAGCTGACAAACTGTGAATCTCAAACTTCTGGGACCAACTGGTCCTCCTGCCTCAGCCATCCAAGTAGCTGGGACTATAGGTGCTCACCACAGCATCCAGCTCATTTTTCTGTTATTAGAGATGGGGTCTTACTCTTGCTCACACTGGTCTTGAAAGCTCAAGCTCAAGCAATCCTCCAACCTTGGCCTCCCAGAGTATGAGGATTATTGGCATGAGATATTACGCCCAGCCAGATAGTGATTATTTTAAACTTTGCAAGTTATATAGTCTGTCACAATTACACACTCTATCATTATAACACAAAAGTAGACACAGACAATCCCAAAATAAATGGGCTCCAGTATAATTTGGTTTTATAAAAACAGGTAAAGGGTGGACTTGGTCCCTGGGCCACAGCTTGCTGATCACCAGTCCATTGATTCTTTACACAAAAATTATTTACCTGATTTTCTAAGTAATGTATGAAATTCCAACATCAATTTATGGGATGGTACAATCTGATATAAAATCTGGAAGAACAAATAGTCTTGTTATTTTTACACACTTGTAAAAAGCATTTCTCAAATTTCAGCTTACTTTCAAATAAAGTTCTTATTGTCTAATACACTGTTGGTAACTGAATGAAGCATTTAAAAACTACTTTGCTTTTTATCCAGTTTCACTGTAGGTATAGAAAAGCTTTCTCTGTAAAGCTTTTCTCTTTGTTTTTTAACTCTAATAACAAGACAGTCAGGAGAACTGAGGAAATAGATGGGAAATAGATTTACTGGCTTGATATATATATCTATGCTGCTTACCATGTTTAAAAACTTAATGTCTTTTCAGACCCAAGACAGAGAAAAAAATAAGTATCACATAAAATATACTGATGATTCAGTGATCAGAATAGATCACAGAATATTTATATAAAACAAAACTAAAAAGGGGAGGCAATTTCACAGACCATGCTCAGGAACACAGTATACTAAGAGTATTGAAATAAATATTTTAACAACCTTTTTATTTTTTTTTTGGTGGAGGGGGGAAAGAGTCTCAGTCACCCTAGGGTTGAGTGCTGTTGCATCACAGCTCACAGCAACCTCAAACTCTTGTACCGAAGCAATCCTCTTTCCTCCGCCTCCTGAGTAGCTGGGACTATAGGTGCCTTCCGCAATGCCCGGCTATTTTTGGGGGGGGGGGTGTCTCGTTCTTGCTCAGGCTGGTCTCAAACTCCTGAGTATAACCAACCCCAGAGTGCTAGGATTATAGGCGTGAGCCACCGCACCAGCCCTTAACAACATTTTTATGAAATAAAATATTTAGAGGTTTCTCTTTACAGAAGGACTATTTTTAAGAACATTCAAGAAATAGGGTTTAAATGTTTTAAATATTTTTCATTTTAAGATATTTGATATTAGAAATGAATTCATAGTACAGACTTCCTGAGGTTCTCTGACTTTATACTGAAATAATTTCCAACAAAATTAAATTTTTCTAATTTCTCTTCATAGTTTTTAAAAATATCAATCAATCATGACCAATATCAGAGAATATTACAAGAAATTACATGTTCAACATGGACATTCTGTAGCATGTTTAAAAAGTTTTTTAAATACAAAAATAAAAATGAAAATAAAAAAAATCTTTTAAACACCCATTAGTGATTAGCAACCTGAGTGAAGGCACAGTCTTGTAACTGTACTTAGTTTTTCATTGTACAAATGAGAAGGAAATCTTAGAGAGTAAAATAAAAATAGAAACTTTAAGTATACAGCATTATGTTTAGTAAATCAAAGCCTGTTGAAAATTTATAAAACATAGTTTCCAAACATGAAGATTTGATAATGTCAATTTTGATGAACATGAAAGTAAAAATTAAAGAGAACTGGCCCTTTAAAAGAGGATTAATAGTCATATCTTTAGGACCTTTCTTTTTATTTGACTTCTAAAATAGAACAATTAAAAACTGACCACAAAATAAATGAAGAACTCCTACAATTTAACAACAAAAATCAAACAAGAAAAAGAACAAACAAGAGCAAAGAACTTAGACATTTCTTTAAAAAACATAAACAAATGGCCAATAAGCCCATGAAAAGATGCACAGCATCACTAGCCATGAGGGAAATGCAAATCAAAACCAAAGGAGATAGTGACATCACCTCACACCCACTGGGATAGCTATTCCCCCCAAAAGCAAAAGAAGTAACAGAAACAATGACAAAGGTATCTCCCTACCAGACTTTAGGCTATATTACAAGGTCACAGTGATCAAAACAGCATGGTATTGGCACAAAAATAGAGACATTGACATTTGGAACAGAATAGGAAACCATGAGATGAAACTAACATCTTATAGCCACCTAATCTTTGATAAACCAAACAAGAACATACACTGAGGAAAAGATTGCCTATTCAATAAATGGTGCTAGAAGAACTGGATAACACATGTAAAAGATTGAAACTGGACCTGCACTTTTCACCACTTACATAAATTAATTCAAGATGGATAAAAGATTTAAATCTAAGACGTGAAACAATAAAAATCCTTGAACAAAGTGTGGGAAAAACACTTAAAAATATCAGCCTGGGGAAAGATTTTATGAAGAAGACTTCATGACAATTGCAACAACAAAAATAAATAAATGGGACCTAATTAAAATAAAAAGCTTTTGCACAACTAAGGAGACAACAACCAAAGCAAACAGACAACCTTCAAAATGGGAAAAGGTATTTGCATACAATGAACTGGACAAAAGCTTCATAATTAGGATCTACAGAGAACTCAAATTAAACAACAAAAATAGAACCAACAATCTCATATATCACTGGGCAAGAACAGAACCTTCTCTAAGGAAGACAGATGAATGGCTAACAAATATATGAAAAACTGCTCATTGTCCCTAATCATCAGAGAAATGCAAATCAAAACTACTCTGAGATATCATCTAACCCCAGTGAGAATGGTTCACATCACAAAGTCTAAAAGCTGCAGATGCTGGCGTGGAAGTGGAGAGAAGGGAACACTTGTACACTGCTGGTGGGACTGCAAACTAGTACAGCCTCATTGGAAGGAAGTATGGAGAAACCTCAAGGAAATCAAATTAAGATTTCTCATTTGACCCTGCAATTCCACTACCCAGAAGAAAAAAATCCTCTTATCATAAGCACATTTGCACTAGACTGTTTATCACAGCTCAATTTACAATTGCCAAAATGTGGAAACAACCAAAATGCCCACCAACCCAGGAATGGATTAACAAGCTGTGGTATATGTATACCATGGAATACTACTGAGCCATTAAAAAGATGAAGACTTCACCTCTTTTGTATTAACCTGGATAGAGTTGGAACACATTCTTCTTAGTAAAGCATCAAAAGAATGAAGAAGCAAGAATCCAAGGTACTCAATTCTAATATGAAGGTAGCACATTATCTGATACAAGTTGGGGAAATAAGGGAGTGGGGAGAGGGGAGGAGAGAGGAATACAAGTGGTCATGGTGCACAGCACACCTTTTGGGGGCAATACACAATTATAAGAGGGACTTTACCTAAAAAATACAATCAGTGTAACCTCATTTTTTGTGTCCTCAATGAATCCCAAATAATAATGAAATAATAATGAAATAATAATGAAAACCAAAAAAAGCAAAAAAGGGGGGCAGTGTTAGAGGGGTTGGTAGTCAGTCTTGGTGCAAAATGCAAGGGTACATTTCAAAACAACTAAGAGGATATTATAAATGTCACACCACAAAAGTAAGTGAGGTGATGGCTATGTTAATTAGTTTGATTTAAACATCCCAGATTGTAAATCAAATCATCACATTATACCCCATAAATATACATAGTTATGATTTAATAAAAAGTAAAAAAAAAAAACAAAAACTACACTAATGGCATTGGTATAAAGATGGAAATAAATATCACTAGAACACAATGGACTTCATATATAGCCCAATGATTTTCAACAAAGTTACTAATGTAATTCAATGCAGAAAGGATAGCCTTCTCAATAAACAGTGCTAGAACAATCATATGGAAAAAAATAAACCTTGACCTTACCTTACACTACACAAAATATTAGCTAAAAATCTAGCATACATCTAAACATAAAACTATGCAGCACATATAGTAAGAAAATAAGAAGGCTGGGTGTGGTGGATCTCATGTGTAATCCCCAACTTTAGAAGGTTGAGGCAGAAGGAATGCTTGAGGTCAGGAGTTGTTCAGACTAGCCTGGACACTACAAAAACAAGAAAACTAACCTATCACTACAAAAACAAGAAAAATTAGTCAAGAATGACAATGGATTTCTTTAGTCCCAGCTACTCGGGAGGCTAAGGCAGGAGGATTGCTTGAACCTAGGCATTCAAGGCTGCAGTGAGCTATGATCACACCACTGTACTCTAGTCTGGGTGACAGACAGAGACCCTGTCTCAAAGACAAAAACAAACAAAAGACCACAGAAAAGAATCTTAATTATCTTGGAATATTCAAAGATTTGTTACACAAAAAGCACTACCCATAAAAGAAAAAAAAAAACACATAAATTGAACTTCATTAAAATTATAAGTATTTGAAAGATATACTGTTAAACAAAAAGGCAAGCCACAGACTGAGAGAAAATATTCACACTCCATATACCTAACAAAGGATGTGTATCCAGATTATATGAAAACTCCACATCAGTAAGACAAATAACCTCCCTCCCTCAAATACACAAAATATTTGAAAGACACTTGAACCCGAGAGTTTGAGGTTGCTGTGAGCTATAACCCCACAGTGGCACTCCCCGAGGGTGACAAAGTGAGACTCTGTCTCCAAAAAAAAAAAAAGAAAAGAAAAGAAGTCAAACATATCCTTTCCTTATTACTCTCAGGTAGCAATTCCACTCTTAGGGAACTACCCAAGAGCAATGAAAATTTAATGTGTAGGCCAGGCCTGGTGGCTCATGCCTATGATCCCAGGACTGAGGCAGGAGGATCCCTGGAGCTCAGGAGCTCAAGACCAGCCTAAGCAAGAGCAAGACCGACCTCTATTAAAAATAGAAAAACTAGCCAGGAGTTGTGACAGGCACCTGTAGATCCAACTACTAGGGAGGCTGAGGCAAGAGGGTTACTTGAGCCCAGAAGTTTGAGGTTACTGTGAGCTATGACAACACAGCACTCTAGCCAGAGGGATAAAGTGAGAGTCTTGTCTCAAAAAAAAAAAACAAAAACAAAAACATACATCTTACATACTGGAAGATTCCATTTATATGAATATATGGAAATTTTAGAAGAGGTAAATTAATCTATAGTGACAAAAGGCTGATCAGTGATTGCCTGGGTCAGGGATACTTGGGTAGATTGGCTGCACAGAGAAATGAGGGACTTTGGGGGGAGATGGGGGTAACAGAAATGCTCTATATCTTGTCATGGTGGTTCATGGATGTATATATTCATTACAATGCCCACATGTATACATCTAAAATAAGTGTCTTACTGTCTGAAAATTAAATTTCAAAAAAATTTATTTTCCAAAAATATCAATGCAAAGTTTTCCAACTCACGTGGCAAAGAGTTTCTGAAATGCTGACCCTCTTCTCACCTGGGCAGAGGGGCTGGTATAGGGGTACCTGCCTGACGTCTGCAGCTGCGGCCAACTTTCTCTGCTTACCTCAGTTTACGGCATGCAGGCAGAAAGTGGACTGAAGACCCCATTCTTGGCAAGGGAAAATACCCCAGAAAAAAGGGAAAATAAGAAAGTAAGCTAAGCAAAGCAGAACAAAGAAAGTCAGCTAGTTTACCTTTAAACCATCCATTGCTAAATTTCTTATCGGAGCAAGTTTCCTGCTTTTCCTAGAAGCCTGGCCTACTGGGGATACAGCTTACTAACATCCCTGCTGGGTCTGGGAGCACTCTGAAGGAATAATGCTCACAGAGGCTGCTGTGTGCAAGGCCTAGGAAGAAACATTAACTAGGCCAGTTGAGAATCCACAGGAACACACTGGATGCCAAATGCTGGGGTCCCGCTCCTAGGGCAGGGTCCATTACGACTTGTGGCTCTCGCAGCGATGAACTGGGGAAGTATAGAGACGATGAGAAAGAAAGAGACAAGACATACAGAATTTTCAAAGGTGGGAGCTGAGGAGACCACTGCCTGTTTGTGCAGTTTTGAGGGTTCTGATGGTGGCCCTGAGTGTCAGTTCTACTCAGCTTTTATTGACGGCTATTTGCTCATTAGCCCAGAGGGCAAGCTTGGAAGGGAACAAAGACACCAACAGTTTCTCTGAGCAAGCATATTAGCTCTTACTGCTTTATTAACAATAAGGGTTATCATTAACCTTAAGGGTCTGAGCAGTCATGAGAAATCCAGAACCTGAGCTTTGTGTGGGGGCAGCCCCCTGTCTGAGCTCACACACACAGATTCCTTGGAAGGTGTTAATCTCCGCCAGTTCACTGCAGAGTAAAATGCCACTGGCATCAATCTCCTCTGAAGAATCGAACTTTCCTCTCATAACCACCACAGAGGGTCTTCCTCTGTGTAAGGTATATAAGCCCTCCTACAGATATTTCAGGGCTCAAACTGTCCCTCTGATCTCTGCCCCAGTATACAAATCTCCACAATGGGAATTTGCTTTGACTGTTAACTAGGCAGGAACCAGCCTAGTTAGGTTTCTTCCTAGGCCTTGCACACAGCATCCTCTGAGAGCATTATTCCTTCAGAGTGCTCCCAGACCCAGCAGGGGTGTTAGTAAGCTGGATTCCTTATAGGCCAGGCTTCTAGGAAAAGCAGGAAACCTGCTCCGATAAGAAACTTAGCAGCTGCTGCTTTAAACATAAACACAGGTGACTTTCCTTTGTTCCGCCTTGCTTAGCTTACTTTTTTATTTTCCCTTGCCAAGAAGGGGGTGTTTGGTCCCCATTCTGCCTGCAACTGTACATATATTGTCATTTTCTATAGGTGCTGTAACATGAAAATTGGAAAGCAATGATTTTTTTTTTTAACATAGCCTTCATGGCATTTTCTTAGTTATTGTGTTAAGACATTTATATTCTACATTTAGAAAGGTTCATATGCAATGACGTTTTAATGTAGATCCCTACCCAAACATTGAAATGAAAATTTTGTACCTTAAGCACACTTAGCAGTTTTGTTCTTGGTGCCTTCTTTCGCTTTAGAAAGTTATATAAGTAGATATGAGCATTCGGATTTGACGGGAACTTTTCATCATATGCGTAATTGGTGAGTACCTCTTGGGCTGCATCTTGATCCCCATAGAATTCCAGCATCTATATAAAATAAGTCATAATATGTTAGCTAAATTCTGAAAGATAGCTCTACAGAAGATCAGCTTAACTTTAATGATGGGCACAAAAAAAAAAATCACAAAACTGACAAACAGTATACTATATAGGGAACAATAAATACTAGTTTTTACTTTCACCAGCATATGTTACAACATCTATGAAACACAGATAATCACTTCCAACAAAGGCCTACACAGGCCTTTCCATTTTTTCCTCATAATGCTGTAAAATGCAGCAACTTCAACATAGGAACTGTTCCTGTAAGAAATAAGAGTCTTCAAAGCAGGGCACACTAATGACAGCAAATGTGATGAAAATAACCTCAGTATCCTCTACACTTTCAGCCACAAAAGGAGTCTAGGAGAATTATAGTTCCTTTCATTCCATTCCCATCCTTACACAGTAATTCCCGTATTTGCTGGGATACGCTTTTGGAAATGATCTTCTGATGACACAATTATCACGTTAGCACTTGTTAACTTTCAGAAGAGCAGATTATTTTAAGGATGTATTCCTAGTGTCCAAGGCACTCAGTCCTTTTACAGTGACTCTGGGATGACAGCACATTCTTATGAACTTCCTAAAAGCCATTATTCCTCATCCTGCATATTGTAACCTGCTTTCAGATTTTTGTCCTCTTTCCTTTTAGATCCCACAAAATCATAAAAGATGTTTATGCTTTTCTTTTTAGCTCATCAGGAATCAGACATTTACAACTATACTGTAAGTAAAAGAAACAAAAATCACTCAGGCCAGAAAAAGATACTCCATCAATAAATTTCAGAAAAATTCTACTTACCTCCACATAACTCTTCACAAAAGGGTCCCACACTCCAGGAATTTTAATCAGTGCACTAAGATTCATAGATGTCTTCCAGCTGCGATTGATCATACTTCGGGTTGTAGTGCCATACACATAATCATCCTTATCTGCCCCAAGATAAAAGATTTTTAAAAGTCATTCAGTATTGAGGACTTCTGTTAAATGAGTAATCAAAAAACTACCCACAGTCCAGATTCTGATGGCTACACAGGTGAATTCTAACAAACATTTAAAGAAAAATACTAATTCTTCACAAATTCTCCCCCCAAAAAACAATAGAGGCAAACATTTCTCAACACTAAATTGAGGCACATTATTAGCCTGATACCAAAACCAAATAAAACATAAGAAAACTATAGATTAGCCTCTATTATGACTATAAATGCAAAAATATTCTAAAAGATACTAGCACACTAAGTCCAGCAACATATAGAAAGGATTATACAGAATGCCCATATAAGATCTATTCCAGAAATGCAAGGTTGGCTTAACAACTGCAAATCAATTTTTTTTTTTTTTTTGAGACAGAGTCTCACTTTGTCACCTTCAGTAGAGTGCTGTGGTATCACAGTGCTCACAGCAACCTCCAACTCTTGGGCTCAAACGCTTCTCTTGCCTCAGCCTCCCAAGTAGCTGGGACTACAGGCACCCCCCACAACGCCCAGCTATTTTTAGAGATGGGGGGGTCTCGCTCTTGCTCAGACTGGTCTCAAACCTGTGAGATCAGAGCAATCCACCCACCTCAGCCTCCCAGAGTGCTAGGATTATAGGCGTGAGCTACCACACCCAGCCTAGAATAAAGATCTACTGACCTAAAGTTCTAACCTAAACCAAATCAACAGAATAAATGATAAAAATCATACATGATCATCACAACAGATACAAAAAAAGCATTTTTAAAAATTCAAAACCCCAGTGGAACTGACAGGATTTTGAAAAAATTCAGTAATTCATTATGGTCAAAACGTTTGAAAATCTAGAAACAGAGAGAACTTCCTCAACCTTTAAAGGATACCTATGAAAAACCCATGGCTAACATCAAACTTAATGATAAAACACTGCATGGTTTCCCCTTAAAATAAGGAATAAGACAAAGATGTCCTCTCTCACTACTTTTTAAAATTATACCAGAGGTTCTAGCCAAGACAATTAAGCAAGAACATAACATACAAAGACATCAGATTGGAAAAGAAGAAGTAAAACTATTTCTACTTGTAGATGACATGATCTTGTACATAGAAAATTCTAAGAATCTACTAAAAACTTATTAGAACTAATAAATAAGTTCATCAAGGTTACAGAGTACAAGATCAATACACAATAATCAATTTTATGTCTATAAAGTGCAATGAACAATCAGAAATAAAATTAGGGGCTTGGTGCCTATAGCTCAGCCAGCCACATACACCAGAGTTGGAGGGTTCGAATCCAGCCTGGGCCTGCCAAACAACAATGACAACTACAACCAAAAAATAAAAATAGCCAAGTATTGTGGCAGGCACCTGTAGTCCCAGCTACTTAGAAGGCTAAGGAAAGAAAATTGCTTGAGCCCAAGAGTTTGAGGTTGCTGTGAGCTGTGACATCACAGCACTCTACCAAGGGTGACAAAGTGAAACTCTGGCTCAAAAAAAAAAAAGAAAAGAAAAGAAAAAAAATTACGAAAACAATGCCACTTTCAAAAGCATGAAAAACAATAAAATGGGTGCCACCTGTGGCTCAGAGGGTAGGGCGCTGACCCCATATACCATGGGTAGCGGGTTCAAACCCAGCCCCGGCCAACTAAAACAGCAATGAGAATTGCAACAAAAAAAAATAGCAGGGTGTCGTGGCGGGCACTTGTAGTCCCAGCTACTCGGGAGGCTGAGGCAAGAGAATTGCTTTAGCCCAAGAGTTGGAGGTTGTTGTGAGCTGTGATACCACAGCACTCTACTGAGGGTGACAAAGTGAGACTCTGTCTCAAAAAAAAAAAAAAATATATATATATAGGTATAAAAGCTATATCGTTGAATAAAACATAAAAAAAACATAAATTGAAAGATAGTCCAATGTTCATGGATTGGAAGACTTAATATTGTTAAAATGATCTACAGATACTTGTAAGTCCCATCCAAATCTCAGTTGACCTTTTTTGCATAAATTGACAAGCTGATTCTATAATTCATATGAAAATTTAAAGGACCAACGAAGAATAAAGAACCTTTAAAAAGAACAAAGGTGGGGATATACACTATGACTTCCAAAGTTACTACAAAGCTATAGTAATCAAGACTGTGTGATACGGACACAAGGAGAGATGTGTACATTGATCAATGGAAGAGAACTTAGAATCCAGAAATAAACCTTCATATTTAAGTGACTAATTTTCAGTAAGGGTGCCAAGACAATTTGGTGAGAAATAATAGATTTTTCAATAAATGTGCTGGGACACCAGATATCCACATGCAAAATAATGAAGTTGAGTGTTTATCTGCCTCATACCATATACAAATATTAACTCAAAATTAAATCAAAGACCAAAATACAAGTGCTAAAACTATAAAACTCTCAAAAGTGAAAATCTTTGTGACGTTGGAATACACAATAGTTTCTTAGACAGCCACATACACTGGAGACAACAAAACACAAGCAAGTAAACAAAAAATATATATTGGACCTCATCAAAATTAAACAATTCTATGTTTCAAAGGACATCATCAAGAAAATTAAAAGACAACCCGTAGAAGAGGTGGGATATTTCCAAATCATATATATGATGTATCTGATAAGACTACTGTCTAAAATAGTACATAAAGAACTCTCACAACTCAATAACTAAAAGACAAGTAATTTAATTAAAATATGAGAAAAAGACCAGAATACATATTTCCCTAAAAAAGATATACAAATGGCCCACAAGCCCACGAAAAGATGCTCAACGTCATTAGCCTATAGGGAAAGGCAAATCAAGACCATGATAACACTTCTCATCTACTAGGATGGCTATAATGAAAAGACAACGACAAGTATTGGTGAGGATGTGGAGAAATTAGCACCCTCATAAACTCCTCATGGTAACACAAAATGGTGCAGGTGGTTTGGAAAACAGTTCAATGTTTCTTCAAAAGGATAAGCATAGAGTTGCATGACCCCGCAATTTCACTCTTTATTCCAAGAGAAATAAAAACACATGTCCATGCAAAAATTTGCACATGTTCATAGCAATGTTATTCGAAATACTCAATGAGGGAGCATTTTATCAGTGAGGAGAAAACAGTTCCATAATAAATATATTGTACTCTCTCTATCTTCCATGTGTAAGTATTGAAAATGTTTGGAAGCAGTGACCATTTATTCAAGCACTGGTTTTCATCTCTTATAATGTAAATAATACTGCATAAAGCTTTTTGTTAGTAAGTTATAATTAAATGGCAAGCACTAGCAACTTCTGTATGTGGATTTTATACTAAGAAAGTAAAAAACACATTTTATACTTCCAATTAACTGCTCGCAGGAAAATGGAAGCTTTTGCTTTATGATATTTCCTGTCTATAGTGTTAGGCATGAAATAGATTTAGATCAGGAATTTCTTTGTGTTGAGAAAAATGAAGGAAACCCCTGTTATCTGTTAAGGAAAACATGCACACAGATACATGGGTAGGTGTGTTTATGTCTTCCAATGTGACTTACAAATCTTTGCTTCTATAACCTGTACATATGTGTGTGCGGGAATAGTGGGAGGTTATATGTTTATCTCCAATCAGTCCGATGGCAGGTTCTCAGAGGTGCAATATGACTTATTTTCTGCCCGTGTGCTTTTTGCTTAAGACTAATTTCTTACAATTCTTTGGTGTGCATTCTCGTATCTGGTGTTGTATTAAAATATGACCTTTGTTTTCTAATAAAAAAAAATCCCCTTTGTTTTTTGTAAAAATGCTTCCTAAATATAAAGGTATTATGAATATTAGCACTATCTGTTGCCACTGTTTACAACCTCTTATAAAACTTTTGAATAAATGATATAGATCTTTAAAAAAAAGTAGAAACAACCCAACTGTCCATCAATGATGAATGCATAAATAAAATGCAGTAAATCTATACAATGGAATATTATTCAATATAGGCAGGAATAAAGTTCTGTTACAACCTACAACATTAAAAACTGTATGCCAAATGAAGCCATTCATAAAAGATCACATATTGTACAATTTCATTTACAGGAAATGTCCAGAATAGGCAAACATCCACAGACAGAAAGTAAATTAGTGATTGCCTAGGACTGGAGGGATCGCAGAGAAATGGAAAGTACAGAGTTTCCTCGTGGGGTGATGAAAGTGTTCTAAAACCGCTTGTGGTGACGGATGCGCAACTCTGTGCATCCATCCGAAAACCATGCTAAAAACCCCAAACTAGACATTTTAAGTGGAGTGAATTTGTATGGCATGTGAATTATATCTCAATTCTTAATAAAGCTATTAAAAAAAAAAAAAACATGAGCAACAGCTACACTCAACAAATTGGATGATGTAAAAACTTTGACCATAAATGTTGAGGACAATATAGAGAAAAGAAAACTAAAATCAGATTGTTAGTGGAGCATAAATTGGTAACCTCTTTGGAAAGAGTTCAGCACATATACGCTAAAGTTGAAGATGCACGTATTCTACGACAATTCTCCTAGAAATTCACGTGAACCAGAATACAGAACTTTACAGGAGTTAATTTCAAAGCAGCATTATTTATAATAATTCAAAACTATAATAACCTAAATGGCCACCAATAATAGAATAGCATGAATATTATAAAATAAAATGTTTTATAATGGTAAAAATGAATAAACTAGACCTATATTCAACAATATGTTATGTATTTTAAAGCCAATGATGAATAAAATACGCAAGGCCCTCAAAAAAGAAAATATATGTATATCTATCTACCTATATATATATATATATACACACACACACACACACACATATGAAAAGACTTAGAACAATTAAAAAGCAAGAGATGAAGAACCATCTGATATAGGCTGAACATACAGCTGATACAGTAGGTTGAAGGTATAAGAACAAGGGTTGGGGCAGGGTCTAATGAGTCTGGAACCACAGAGGGCATTCTAGATGAAACTGCACAAAGATCTCACTAGATCGTGACAATGAAAACAGCACTTCAGAAGTTACCTTCAAAGAATGGAGAAGGAGAACTCAGTTTGAAAAGTGAAAGGTCAATTTTTGGAATAGTCAGCAAATCAAGAAAACTGTCCTTTACAAAAATGAAATGGTTGTATCTTGCTCTGTTTTTTAAACATATTATTGTAAGAAACATTATAAAATAAATTAAACTCCATTCTAAACCCACGGAAGAAACATTTACTATTTGCCTGTGGTCTCCAAGCCCCAGTCAGTGGAAGGTCCTCACACAGCAGAGATGGCCAGTGAGGGAAACAAGCAAAGCTTCATTCGTACTTACAGCTGCCCCTTGTACCATCCACCTGAGCTCTGCCTCTTGTCAGATCACGGCAGCATTAGAGTCTCATAGGAAGACAAACCCAACTGTAAACTGCACATACAAGGTTTGATCTAGGTTGTGTGCTCCTCACGAGAATCTAATGCTCCCCCTACCCTGGTCTGTGGAAAAATTGTCTTCTGTAAAACCAGTCTCTGGTGCCAAAAAGGTTGGGTATTGCCACCATAGGCAATACTGACCACTAAAGTATTCAGCCTTTCTTGGAAAATGACAAAGATTTTCTCCTTGACCAAACCCCAGGCAGGCTCCTCTGAACCCTCTTCTAGACTAGGCCTTGACCTTGGCCTATAAAGGCTTGAGCAAAAACTAACAGTTTCTAGCAGCTCAAGGCCACATCTCTAGAATGGCCTTGCCCCCCACCCCCAAAATGCCTGCCTGAGAAAAATCAATGCTGCCCAAAGAATTTACTGTTGGTGCCAACCAACACGTGAAGATAGGGATGGCCCCTGTCTCCCAATCTCTCTGCTTAACTTCCAAAAGCAACAGTTAGTAATCAAAGATGGGTTTCCATGAGCCACCACTCCCTTCTGCTTTTGAACTTCACTTCCCTGACTCTGCCATGTACCACCCTCAGCTGTCTCTTTAAAAACCAAGTTACCTCTGTACAAACAAGAATGGACCTTAGCTCTTTCCCATCAGAAGTTAACAGATAAAATTTGTTTTCACTCTGACTTACGTCCAGTTGTGTTTATTCTGACAAAATCACATCTAAAAAATCAATGACTAATTTAGGACCGAAAAGTTTTTTGATATATTAGAAAATATTATAAAGGATGATCAAGAATTTTAAAACAACAAAAGCCTGTTCTCTATAATATCTGGATGCAATAGGGAATTACTAGGTTGATCCTTAAGCTCTCTCTGCCCATGCCAGGTACCAGTGGCCTGTGGTACCAAGTACTCAGGAGAGTGAGGTGGAGTGGATTACTTCAACCCAGAAGTTCTGAGTCCATCCTTGGCAACACAGTGAGATCCACCTCTTTAAAAAAAAAAAATCCCTCTGCCCTTCAGTCTTATCCACATGGATTTACTCACCAAGCTTTGACAATTCCTTTTTCTTTTTAGACCAAGTATAATACTGCAAAAGTCCTTTATAGGCCTGAACCAGGTTTATTAATATTTCCTGGGAAGATGACTTTTCACCGTATCTCCATGTTTCTGCTTCCCTAAGATTTCTGTCAGCATCCTCAAGCATTCCATGATGCAGAAGGTATAATGCATGTTGTAAGGAAATCTGCAAAAATAAAGAGAAAAATCCCTCAGATAACCATTAGTGTAAAAGTTCGGTAAATACACTAGATGACCTAGAAGGATAAAATGGCATGACACTGTCCCTGCCATCAAAATTTTCAACCAGCTGGGCACAATGGCACATGTCTGTAGTCCCTGCCACTCAGGAGGATGAGGGAGGACTGCTTGAGCCCACGAGTTGGAGGTTGCAGTGAGCTATGATTGCACCACCACACTACAGACTGGGCAACAAAGGGAGAGCCTGTCTCAATAAATAAATACCCAAAACTTGCAATCTAGCAAAAAAGACACATGAAGCAATTGACACTATGTAAATAAGAGCTAAATTATGCAATGAGTAGATAAAGATAGCAAGATACAGTGGGGAAAAATAGGGGTTCTGAGGACAGAGTATCTTGGTTCACATGCTACCTATTATAAAAACTAAACCTGGGTAAATTATTCACACTTTATGAATCTTGCCTGTTATGCAGAACAATTATTATTACTATTAAACCTTCAGAAGGGTGTTTTGAGATAGTATTTGTATTCATATATCATCTAATGCCTAGTTTGGCTCATAGCAGACAATCAATACTTATTCATATAACTATTTTATATATGTTATACAAAGCACAAGCTTAGAAAAAACGTCTTCATAAGGGGTATTAAAGAAAAGCTTCAGTTCACATGGAAAAGAAAGTACATCCCTAATACAAGAGAGGCACTAAGAATAATTACACAAAGAACAGCACTGCAAGAAAGGATGACATAAAGAGAATAATGGGAGTACAACGAATCCTACAGATAGAGACAGATCATAGAGTCCAAGGCTCTCATCTCAAATTCCTGCAGTCATTTCCCAACTAGTCTCCCCATTCCTATAATACATCTTCCAAGTAGCTACCAAAGAAACCTTTTTTTTTTTTGACAGAGCCTCAAGCTTTCCCCCTGGGTAGAGTGCCATGGCATAACAGCTCACAGCAATCTCCAACTCCTGGGCTCAAGCGAGTCTCCTGCCTCAGCCTCCCAAGTAGCTGGGACCACAGGCGCCCACCACAACGCCCAGCTACTTTTTGGTTGCAGCCGTCATTGTTGTTTGGCGGGCCCAGGCTGGATTTGAACCTGCCACCTTAGGTGTATGTGGCTGGTGCCTTAGCCGCTTGAGCCACAGGTGCCAAGCCAGAAATCTTATCTTGTTAATCATTTGTACAAAATCCTTCAGTGGCTCTCACTGCCTACAGAATAAAACCCAAGATCTTGGGTATGGCACACAGGGCCCCAGTCTACTTCTCCTACGCAAGTAATTTTTTACAATATCTAAATCATCAGATACAGGGCTACTGAAGTCTTTATTATCCTCTCCCATGCCAGGCTGCCCTTTCTCCAGCCTGCCTCATGAACACCCACTGGCTTTTCCAAACTCATCTCAGCCATCACTTCCTTTCCTTTCCTGAGTCCCCTCCCCGCTCAATCCCAGCTCCCAGAAAGCTGCTCATTTTCTCCTTTATCTTCTCACTATGTATGTCTCTACCCAGACCACTTCATTCCATTTACATGCTTGTCTCCTCTACTGAAAAAACCACATCTAGTACAGTGCCCGAAAAATACTAATGGGTGTTTTTAAAATCATTAACAACAACAAAAAAAATGTTTTATTGCCTACCCTAATTATCATCTTCGGACTTTCCTTTTCCCAACTGGCCAGTTAGAAAGCTCTCCCTTAAGTGGACCCATAGCTACCTCCATTTAATTTCCACTTACAGTGTACTGTCTATCAGTGAACTAGATAATAAGAGTATCTGGAACATAAACAGACATTCAGAAAATTTTTCCTAAATTATTCAATATGATAAAAAGAATCCTAAACTAGGGAAATCTGTTTTTAAATTTAGGAAGCAGGAGGAACATAAAATGGTGTAGCCACTGTAGAAAACAATTTAGTAATTCCTAAAAATGTTAAACATAGAATTTTGTGTGTGTGTGTGTGTGTGTGTAATGATCCCACAATTCTACGTCCAGGTACATACCCAAAGGTGTTGAAAACAAGAACTGAAACACATACTTGCATGCCAACACTCACTGAAGCATGATTCACAATGGCCAAAAATAGATACATGGATAAGAAAAATGTAATGTACAATAGAATACTATGCAGCCATAAAAAGGAATGACATTCTGATATGTGCTACAACATGGATAAATCTTAAAAACATTATGCTAAGGGAATAAGCCATTATGCTAAGGGAAATATAAACAAATGGATAAATATTATATGATTTAACTTACATGAAATAAATACATAGAACAGGTAAATCCATGAACATAGAAAATAGATTAGCAGTTACCAGGGGCTGGGGAGAGGAAGGAATGAGGAGTTATTGTTTAATGAGTGTTATGTTTCTGTTTCAGGTGATGGAAGAGTTTTGGAAATAGTGGTGATGGTGGGACAATACAGTGAATATAATTAATACAATTGAAGTATATACTTCAAAAGGTTAAAATAGCATATTTTATGCTATATACATATTTTTTATCACAATAAAATAATGAAAAACAGAAAAAATAAAAACAAAACTTAAAAAGCACCAAAGAGTAAATATTTTAGGCTTTGTGTGCCATCTGACTCCTGTCACAGTTACTGGACTCGGTCATTGTCACGCAAAAGCAGCTACTGACAATATGGAAATAAACAGGTGTGGCTGTGTTCCAATAATACTTTATGGTCACTGAAAGCAAAGCATTCATAAAACTGTATTGATAAAGCATCTTTGAGTCAAGAATATACCACAATAAAGAGAAATAATATTTTGGAAATGTCTCAATCCTTTGGGAAAAGACTTTTATTAAAGAACACATGAATTTGGAGAGAAGGCCCCAACCCAAACATTAAGAACATTAAAACAAGTTCATGTGTTCAAATTCCCAATCTGTGTAGCCCTTTCCTTTTTCTAAAAACACAAACTGCTAAGCGCAAATGCCTTAAGTAAACATAGGATTTGGTCAGTCCATCACAATAAGTACAACTGCATCAGTGGCTGGTTTTGGCAGTGAGAGATATTCAGAAAGATGGTATCGTCAGTCAGAGAAGCTGGCAGATGACTAGAAACCAACAAGTACACAGTTCTCACAACAAGTTTCTCTTATTATCTAAATGTCTTTCCTTATTTTCCATTTTTTACATTATGTACCTTATCACTGACACACACAATTAAAAAAAAAATGAACACTGCAAATGTAAATTTACAATGCCTACGTTCTTACCTTTAAATAATTCATGACACCAATATTTTTCATCCGGTCAGCAAAAGTAGTGAAAGTCTCCACGTTGCTTTTAGGATGATAAAATAGAATTTCACTTCCAAGTTTCCAAATAAGCTGTCAAAGCAGAAATTACTACCATAAGATAACCATAATTTTCTGCCTAAGAAAGTTATATTTTTCAGATTACAACTTTAGAAAACAACCTATACTTTATTTTCCTAGAGACCAATACTGTTAACATCTTACTGTATTTTACCAAATGAAATCATTATATCCTATGCAATAAACTTTTTTCAGTCATTTAAATTAATAGTAAAATGCCAGGCAAGTGTAACAGCTCCATTATTTAGTAGCCTAAAGAAATAACCAGTTAAAATACATACTGAAAACAAGTTTTGTTTTTTTGTTTGTTTGTTTTGAGACACAGTCTCACTTTGTCACCCTCGGTAGAGTGCCATGGCATCACAGGTCACAGCAACCTCAACTCTTGGGCTTAGGCAATTCTCTGCCTCCCAAGTAGCTGGGACTACAGGCGCCCGCCACAACACCTGGCTATTTTTTAGAGGGGGTCTGGCTCTTGTTCAGGCTGGTCTTAAAATCTTGAGCTTAAGCAATCCACCTGCCTCTGCCGCCCAAGTGCTGGGATTACAGGTGTGAGCCACTGCACCTGGCCTGAATACAAGTTTTTTTAATTAGTATAGGAAGGAGAATATTAAAGTCAGAAAATGTGGGTTTCAGTAACATTGGCTTCTTCACTCATCTCAGGCTCATCTTTATCAACTGCAAAATGAGGTAAACAAACTAGATGCTTCCTGAAATCTCATCTAACTCTAGAACTATTAGCTATATTCTATATCTAGAATATCAATTTAAGAACTTTCATCAGCTATGAACAAATTTTAATAAAAGAAATTTTCTCCTCAGATCCGCAAAACTTTGGTAACAGACCTAATAGCTCGCCTTTTTTCATGGGAGCAAATCCCTATTTCCCTCATCTCAACTTAAAGTACTTCAGTAGTATCAATTTGAAAGTAAACTAAAGTGAAGTTTAAGTCAATTCTTTCTATGACCAGACATATTGGTTGTGGGTATATACACATACAAAACACTGTCAGTGGTATAATGACGTATTTATACATATCATCATTTGTTATCATGATAATACTCTTCTTCCCAACCCAGAGAGATCATGATTTCACTTGCTGAAGAACTGTAGTATCTGGGAGCGTAAAGAAAACTTGGAGAGTTCATAGTTATTAGTTTATAGTTAGAGTTATTCTTAAACCCAGTTGTAAATAAGAATTACAAGGGATACCTGTTAAAAACAAATAATCTAAGTATTCAGATCCAGCAGGACTGGGATGGAGTCCAGAAATCTGTATTTTCATCAAAAGCTCTAGGAGATTCAAAAAGAGCCACCAAGTGCCTGAAAACCACTGCTCCAATTCTATTGTTTTCAGCTCGGTGCCAGTGGCTCAAGTGGCTAAGGCACCAGCCACATATACCTAAGGTGGCGGGTTCGAATCCAGCCCAGGCCCACCAAACAACAATGATGGCTGCAACCAATTCTATTATTTTCAAAACAAAATCTGGACAAAAAGAGTCTGTACCTGATTCAATGTTTTACAATTGTATGTAACTTAACCCCTTAAACCCAATTTTCAGTCAATGGTTAAACAGATTTTTGGTTAATTTTATTGGAGAACTAACTGATGCAATGGTTACTGTATTAGCAAAAGGGATCTGAGATACTTACGTGAAGTAATTTATGGGTAAATTGTCTTTTACTAAGTAAGTGTAATAGTATATGCTAGGTACTGTTTTATCCCTGCTCTATGAAATTTATGTTCTATGTGGAGAGACAGACAATAACCAAGAAACATAATAATGGAACAGGATAAGATTAGGACTGCCAGTCAGAAAGGAGAGGGGGCAGTAACACAGTTGCAACTTTCAATAGTCAAGGTAGGAATCATTGAAGGGGGCCTTGAAGGCCATAGTGGTAGCTGAAGAAATAGCTTTCCAAGTAAAGGAAACAGAGCAAAGAGAATTAGGCAGGAATACGCCTGACCCATCAAGTAAGAACAAGGAGACCAGTGAGGCAGGAGAAGAGGGAGCAAGTGTAAGAGTGCAGGTGGAGTGTCCCTCATCCAAAATGCTCAGGGCTCAGATTTCAGGTTCTTTAGGATTTTTTAAAAAATTTACATACACATAATGAGATTAGGGATGGGACCCAAGCCTACAATGAAATTAATATGTTTCATATACACCTTGTATAAAATTACTTTCAGGTAATATTTTGAATAATTTTGTACATGAAACAAAATTTGTGTACACTGAACCATTAGAAAGGAAAGGTGTCACTATCTCAGGTTAGCACTCAAAAAGTTTCAGATTCTGCAGCATTTGTATTTCAGATTTTTGGATTAGGGATTCTCAACCTATAACAGATGAGGTCGGAGAGGCAAATGAGGAAAGAAAGTGAACACATCATATAAGAACTTATTATACAGGCAATTAAACGAACTTTGGCCTGTACTCAGAGTGAAACGGGAATCCACTACAATGCTTTCAGCAGAGGAGTAACGCAATCTAACTTATTGTTTAAAAGGCTCACTCAGCGTCAAAAGTCATCATGGAAATGCAAATCACAACCAGGATGAGATCCCACTTCACAACCACAAGAACGGCTGTAATCAAAAAGATTGACAGTAACAAATGTTGGCAAGGATGTGGAAAATTTGGAACCCTAAAATATTGCTGATAGCAATACAAATGGTGTGGCCACTTAGGAAAATCAATTGCCAGTTTCTCAGAAGGTTAAACACAGTTACCATATGATCCAGCAAGTCCACTCTTAGTTACAGGCCCAAGAGAAATTAAAATAAGCATCCATATTACTCATAATAACCAAAAAGTGGCAACAAGCTAAACATCTAACAACTGATGGATGGATACATAAAATGTGTTATACCCATATAATGGGATATTACTTGGCAATACAAAAGAATGAAATACTACACACACTGGAACAGAGATAAACCTGGCAAACATCATGCCAGGTGAAAGGAGCCATTCACAAAAGGCACCTAGTGTATGATTCCACTTACATGAAATGTGCGGAATAAAAAGTAATAGATTTGCAGCTGCCAGCATCTGGCAGGTGGGGAGAAGAACCAGGAAAGACTGCAAGTGGATGCAGGGTTTCTATTTTGTGGGATACAAAAATGTTCTAAGTTTAGAATGTGGTAAGAATTGCACTACTCTGTGAATATATTAAAAAGAATTGAACCTACGATTTAGATAGGCAAATTGTATGATGTGTTAGTTATGTCTCAATAAAACAAACAAACAAAAAATCACTCGGGTTGGAAAAGAGAACTACTCTTTCAAGAAGTTGTGGTAAAAGGGAGAGTGAAAAAAATGGGGCCCTGCCTATGGAGCAAGTGGGGGTCAAGAGATAATTTTAAGACAGAAATAACAAAATCTTCATGTGATAATGCATTGAGAAACATCCCATTAAGAAGGAAAAATAATGATACAGGAGAAAAAAGGAAGAATAATTGGCATGAATGAATAAATATGGGAAAAATCTGAGAGTTCAGAATTTAAACACTTTTACTCTCCTTTAAAATAACAGGTAAAAAGAAGGGCACAAAAATGTCCCAATACAAACTCTTTCCCTAGAAATACTTTTAGTAGTTTTTAGCAAAATCAATTTGAGATCCTGCAAAAGCCATTTTGGATGGCACTAGAGGCAGCAACTCCTGGACGCTGTACTTCTCCCAGCAGACTCTCACTGTGTACCTCCGGCACAGTCTGTCTTTGGTGGCCATCTGTAGTCTCCAAGGCCTGGAAATAACTGTGCATGTACTCTGCAGCTCGCCGCCACTGGTGCTTCAACAGAGCTTCTTGGATAAAACTTAAACAAGCACTTGTTGTCTGGGAAAAATCCTTCTTTTTCTTTCCTCCAATCACTATAAAAATAAAAGAGAAGAGTCTTTATCCACAGTGACTCTAATTCAACTATTCAAAAACTTCACCTTCTGATAAGCAGAAGATTTAACAAGTAAACAGTAGGTATTACTTGACCCAGCCAATCCCCAATATTGAAACCAGCTTCACTTGAAATGAACCATTCCACACTATATTAACCACTTTTGGCAAATAAAAGGAAATATATCTAATGTGATATTCTTGGGCTCCTAGAGTCACCAGACTCTTCCAATCTGATTCAGTCATCCTTTCATCCTTATGCTAAACAATCTGGGGAAGAATCTCTCAAAAAGGCCCCAAAGCACAGTGCTAGGTATTTTAGAATGTATGAAAATCACAAGGGTCATTCTAGGCAAGCATAATCTTTATTACCTACCAATATTCTGAAATTTTCAGATGGGCTTTTATTTTTTAAAGACTAAGTTCCTAATAACTCAATGATATTACATACAAATGAGATTAAAATAGTTATAAACATTAGCATCTATGTCTCTAAAGTACTAAGAATATTTGCACCTAGGCCAGGTGTGGTGGCTCACACCTGTAATTCCAGCACCCTAAAAGGCTGAGATGGGTGGATTGCCCAAGCTCACGAGTTCAAGACCAGCCTGAGCAAGAAGACAGAGACCTCATCTCTAAAAGTTAGCCAGGCGTTGTGGCAGCCTACTGTAGTCCCAGCTACTTGGCAGGCTGTGGCAAGAAAATCGCTTGAGCCCTAGAGTTTGAGGTTGCTGTGAGCTTTGATGCCATGGCACACTACCAAGGGCGACAAAGCAAGACTCTGTCTCAAAAAAAAAAAAAAAAAAAAAGAATATTTGGGCTTTGTGACAGCACCACTACCTGAGTGACGGGTTGCACTAACCCTTTCTCTTCCCCACAAACCACCAACTAGGCCAACCAAGTACCCTACTCCTGCAAATATGCAAAGACCAATCAGTCTCCACAAAGATACTTTCAAAACAATCAACTTGCAGATCTTTGACTTCCTTGTATATTCTTTCCTACTATAATAATTGCAGAACAACATAATAATCTTTTATAATAAATCACTACATAATTTTCATGAATAATTTAGATAAAGTTCAAGGACCTGATACATGGCTATAATTAAATTCCATTTACTGCCATCTACTTACTTATGCGATTAAGGTTTCAGAATTTTTATCAGCTAAAACAAAATATAATAGAACTGCTACTAAATTGTTTCTTATTCTAGAAATACAAAATAGGCACCCATAAATATACAAAGTGACTAGGGAAAAATGATAGAGAACCATTTATATTTTACTGAGATAGAAAAATAAAAATTTATTTTTAATACTTCAAATTCTTCACTTTTAAAATTCACTAACTAGAGTGACAGGGTGTTAGTCACTCTAGTCACCCAGGCTGGAGTGCAATGGTGTGATGACAATTCATTACAACCTTGAACTCCTGGGCTCAAGTGAGTAGCTGGGACTAACAGTGCACATCATTATGCCTGCTTAATTTTTTTTACTTTTTGTAGAGATGGGTGTCTCCATATATTGCCCAGACTAGTCTCAAACTCTGGGCCTCAAGCAATCATCCCACCTTGACCTCCCAAAGTGCCATTACAATCATGAGCCACCACCCTCAGACCATGCTAATTAGATCAACTGAGTGCAACTATTAATTATAATGGTGTCTCAACCCAGAAGAAATTTTAATTCTTTTTTTTGAGACAGTCTCACTATGTTACCCTCAGTAGAGTGCCAAGCTCACAGCAACCTCTAACTCCTGGGCTTAAGTAATTCTCTTTCCTCAGCCTCCAAGTAGCTGGGACTATAGGTGCCTGCCACAACATCAAGCTATTTTTTTTGTTGCAGTTGTCATTGTTGTTCAGCTGGCCCTGGCTGGGTTTGACCCCATCAGCCTCAGTGTATGTGGCTGGTGCCATAACCAATGTGCTACAGTACCAAGCCAGAAATTTTAATTCATTTTTTTTAATTATTAAATCATAGCTGTGTACATTAATGCAGTCATGGGGTACAATGTGCTGGTTTTATATACAATTTGAAATATTTTCATCAAACTGCTTAACATAGCCTTCATGGCATTTTCCTAGTTACTACGTTAAGACATTTATATTCTACATTTAGTAAGTTTCACATGTACCCTTATAAGATGCACTATTGATGTGGTCCCACAAATTACCCTCCCTCTACCCATCCTCCCCCTCCCCTCTCCTCCTTTTTCCCTTTCCCCATATTCTTGGGCTATAATTGGGTTGTAGCTTTCATATGAAAGCTATAAATTAGTTTCATAGTAGGGCTGAGTACATTGGATACTTTTTTTTCCATTCTTGAGATACTTTGCTAGGAAGAATATGTTCCAGCTCCATCTATGTAAACATGAAAGAGGTAAGTCTCCATCTTTCTTTAAGGCTGCATAATATTCCATGGTGTATACATACCACAATTTATTGATCCATTCATGGGTCAATGGGCACTTGGGCTTCTTCCATGACTTAGCAATTATGAATTGGGCTGCAATAAACATTCTGGTACAAATATCTTTGTTATAGCGTGATTTTTGGTCTTCTGGATATATACCTAGTAGAGGAATTGTAGGATCAAATGGCATGTCTTTGGTATAGAAGGGACATTTCTTAAACTGACAGAGGCCATCTATAACAAACCCACAGCCAATATTGTCTTGAATGGAGTTAAATTGAAATCATTTCCACTCAGATCAGGAACCAGGCAGGGTTGCCTATTGTCTCCACTGCTCTTTAACATAGTAATGGAGGTTTTAGCCATTGCAATAAGGGAAGAAAAGGTGATCAAGGGTATCTTTGATCAAACTTTCACTCTTCGCAGATGATACGGTTGTTTATCTGGAAAACACCAGGGATTCTACTACTAAACTCTTAGAAGTGATCAAGGAATATAGCAGCATCTCAGGTTACAAAATCAACACTCATAAATCAGTAGCTTTCATATATACCAACAAGAATCGAGCCGAAAAAACAGTCAAGGACTCTATTCTGTTCACAGTAGAGCCAAAGAAGATGAAATATTTGGGAGTTTACCTAACAAAGAATGTGAAAGACCTCTATAAATAAAACTATGAAACTCTAAGAAAAGAAACAGCTGAAGATGTTAACAAATGGAAAGACATACCATGCTCATGGCTGGGAAGAATCAACATTGTTAAAATGTCCATACTACCAGTAAGATGGCGGCCGAGTAGCAGCTTCTGTGTAACCGAGCCCAGTGAGAAGGGGGAGAGAAGATTCCAGGCATCTCTGGCCGGTGGGTTTTGCCCAGAGGCTGTCCTCTGGTGACCCAGGAAGTCAGTGAGAGAGTTTAGGACCCCACAAGTAGGTCAGAAGCGGTGAAAAACCGGCAAGTAGTGGGTGCCCATTTGTTTGGTCGGAGGCTGCCTGCAGCTGTACCTATAGCAACAGCCAGACTACAAGCGGGAAGAGCCTTGTCTGGGGGCTGTTTTGGTTTGTCTGGACTTGGGCACTCCACTGAACTGCTTTGGGAGACCTGGGGCCAGTGTGCGGATGACTTGGGCGCTATCTGGGCCCCCAGACTGAGCAGCGGAGCCGGTAAGGAGCTAATGCCATTCAGCTGTATGCTGCCTGCACAGCTACTGTGAGGGAGGGGCTCCTGTATGGTGCACCAAAGGGATCAGCAGGGAGTCCTCCTGGCAAGTGATCTAGTGACTGAGCTGCCCAAAGGCGGGGGCTGTGACACTGGAGGAGTGCGGAGATCCAGGCGTTTGGCAGATTAACACCCTTGGCCCTCAGGGGCATTGAGGGAAACTGGATTTGGTGCATTGGATAAGCAGGCAGCCACGTCAGGAGAGATCCCAGGGACAAGTGCTTTCCTTGGAAAGCTTCTGCTTGGCCTAGGCCCACTGCTTGGAGGGTCTTTTAAGTGGGCCTAGGAGACATTTGGGCTCCTAAGCCTGCAGGGTCTGTGAAACCAGTTGAGGCCTCTAGTTTCCATCTTGTACAGCTGTATCAACTTTGGGATTAACTTCTCACTCCTCAGAAGATCACCTGTTGCCCAGACAGTATTTACCAAGATATATATACTGTTTGGTTTTGGTTTGGGTTTTGAGTGTTTTGCTTTTTGGGGTTTTTTTGAACTTCAATTTTTCTTTTTCTTTTCTTTTTTCTTTGACACTTTTTCTAGTCTATATACAACCTTCCATTTTTGCCTTCTTTAACAATTAGAATTTTATTTTTGTCAATGTTTCTGCCCCTATTATTATTATTATTTTACCTCTTAACTTTATCCTTCTAGGGGTTTTTGCTTTTTTGTTATGGTTTGATTTATAGCATTTTGGTCTCTCCTCTCTACCTGGTGGAGGTGGGGTACTGTGTCTGAGCCAGCTGGCACAAAGCTGTTGACCTCAAGGTAATCACCCAACCTGGAACCCCCAGAGATTGGGGGTCCTTAAGGGTGGGTCGTAATACCCTACTATACACCTATACTATTCTTGCCTTTTTCTTTTGGTGTCTTTCTTAATATTTTCTTGTACTCACCCCCTCTTCCTTCTCTCTCTTTTTTTTTTTTTTTTTAAAAATATCTTTTTTCCCTTCTTGCTCCTCAATCTTCTCATCCTTCTGGTCTTATACCAAAAGGACTCATTAAAATTTAGGCCAGTGGGCAATGCCTGTGGCTCAAAGGAGTAGGGCGCTGGCCCCATATGCTGGAGGTAGTGGGTTCAAACCCAGCCCCAGCCAAAAACTGCAAAAAACAACAACAACAACAACAAAAATTTCACCAGAAAAAAAAAAAAAAGTAAAATAAAAAAAAAAAATTTAGGCCAGGAACATAGTAACTTAGAACAATAAGAAGTGAAAGGAAAATTAGGGTAAGGAAACAGATATAAGAAAGCACTCATGAAGAAGAATCAGCAGAAAAATCCTGGCAACATGAAGTGCCAGCCCAGGGTAACCCCTTCTAGGGATTGCGAGGTAGCTACAGCAGAGGCTTCCTTC